ACGAACAGGGGAAGTTGAAATTAGACTTCGTAAATTGGTTTCGTTTTCAAATTTCTTGGAGCTCCAATGAATTGGAATGCAAGTACTAGTTTCTTAGAGTTCCAATATATTAGAAGTAGAAGCTAGCAAAACAAAGTTCAAAGATTAGATAGGAGTTCAGAGTTTTGTTGTTGTTCATTTTATTAATTTCAAAATAACAGTAGGAGCTACTCATTTTCATAACCATACCAGGAAGAACTGGTTTTTGAACTATTTCATTTGAAGATAGAGCCTCCAATGCAAATTGAAGGTGCAATTCGGGCGGGTATTATTGTTTCTTTACTTCACAATTACCAACTCTATATTGTTTAAGGTTACTGGAACATGCTGAGAAATTTATAGATTTCTGTTAACTACTACCTATTCTCGGTTTGTGCATTACTTCCAACTTATACTGGAGATTCCTAGTGTTGTGCTTGATTGGTTATTCGAGCCTTTTAAAATAATGTGTATGAACTGCTATGTGTATAAGAGATGATACTTTAAGGTTGACATTCTATAATCTGAAGGTTGACACAACAAGACAAGAAGCTTTTGATGGAGTAGCACAGGCATTTGAGTTTGCAATCAATGGACATAACCATGGAGATTTAATTGTAAAATCAAATGGAGCTGTTAACGACATAGATGAATGGGACGTCGGTTTTAATCTTGATGCAAGCCCTGTGGCCCAACATGGTGTTGTATCAAACTCCCAAAATAAAAATGGTCAGAATGATCTAGATTGTGGCTTGAATCCTTCTCCTATTGATCGGAATGCCAATGGTGATGGACATGTTTGGGATTTCAAGGATGCTTTTTCTGATGCATCAGACTATAAGTTGGTGAGTTGGTATGAATTTTTTTAGCATTATATTGAGAAGGTTAAGATATTTAATAAGATGGATCATGCTAAAACTTCTATTTTCATTGTAGGAAGAGTTGAAACCTGTCATCATTCCCCCTAATGGTGTAGAGGTGCTTGTTCCGAATGGTAGTGTCGATGTTTCTTTGTTCGCTCCTGGGATTTCTGACAAATCTAATGAACAACAAAATTTTGACTTAAGTTTCAACCTGAATTGGGGGAAAGAAGACAATAATCTTTTGAATGGAAACCAGGATGGCAACTTCCCTGATACTGGGAGAGATTTAAACACTTCTCTAGCTAACGAGAATGACGATTTCAGTGAGAATATTTGGGATTTCAAGTCTGCACTTTCAGATTCTGGATCAAACAATAAGGTTTTTTTTTTAAGTCTGTCATATTCATGATATTTAAGTTCCATTTTCTCTGTATTTGAAATTGATGTTCCACATCTTATTTGGCTGTAGGGAGAGCCAGTTGAACCTTTGGCTGGTCTTGAAGCACCTGCTTTTGATTTTAGCTATAGTAGTCAGGTGGTTGCTCATATCTCCTGATGTATGATAAATTTTTATGGAGTTGCTTCAATTTTTGCCTCTGTGTTCTAGATGGCAAAGTTTCCAATAATTTGAAATTCATACCTTTCCTCTTATATTGGTGTCGGGGTCGGGGTCGATTCCCCAAACCTTATAATTGTAAATACTATGAATATGGATTATCTAACTATTCTTGTTCTAGTTTTGTGCACCTGAAGAAATATTGTGCTTTGGGTTGTAATGATTGCTTCTTTCAAATTTTTTTCTTTCAGAGGAATTTAGAGTTATTGTCCAGTCACCGGAAGGCCTTGCCCTTGTCAATTCTTGAAGATGAAGAGCTGGAAACTGCGGATGATTTTACAATGAATCAAGATGCTTCTACCTTTATATCTGTCACCAGTGAAGGACGTGATAACAAGAATCCTGGTTCTAATGTATCTATCAATGACATGATATCAAGTCTATATAATCAAGCTGAGAAAAATGGTTCCATCAATTATTCCCCTGAAGAAAATGAAAATGGAACAAATTTATCATCAAGGATGTCACATTCCGATTTAGGCAATGATGATGATGATTCCTGGGAATTCAAGGATGCATCACCGAATGTTAACGTGACCGATCAAACTTATGTTACCATTCTTGGAGATTTACCCAAGCCATCATCTACGAAGCTACAGTTTGATTGTTACATGGATTTTTATCACAAGTTAAATCTTGTTTTGAACCATGTTGTTCACGGCCTTCTTGGGAATTTAGAGGTCGGTAATCTTATGAATATGTCGTCCTTCCACGAAATGTGTTATTAACGTTGTTTAATTTGTTTTTAATTTTCTTCCTTGATAGAATGCTCAAAGTAATACCTCTCTTTCCGGTGAAAATGCAAAATTAAGAGCCATTTGTGAAGAAATTCAGGTTTGTAGCCATGCTTGCTTCATTCTTACTGGCTTTTCTTTTATTATTATCTTTTCAATTTTAAGCCGTGATGTATACTTTCTTTGATTGTTTGTGTAAACACTAAACACTATTGTTAAAACTTGTTGTTTACCTTATGTATATGCATCTCTTTTCATAAATCATTATGAAACATAATTGCTATGAGATGACAATCCATGTCTTTCATATGGAATGTGTGGTATTTTTCCGCGAACTCCTGAACATAATTTTCTTATTTCTTCAGAATTTCAGTGCCGAACTGTCCCAAGAGAACTTCACGACTGATAACTTCTCATCAGATGTTTTCCTTCCAAAAAATGCTTTCAGTGAAATCTTTGAAATGTTGCGGGATCCAAGGTTTCATATTCTGGATGAAGAATTCCAGTTGTCGGAAAGGTTACCATTGGTAAGACTATCTTGCATTAGGATGATACATATTTCTTTTTGACGGAAACAAACGCTAATTATTATCTTTTAGAAATTTGAATTTCCTAGTGTTCATGTTCCAGAATCACACACCATTTCCTAAATGTTGAATGCACAAACCCAAATTTTTGTTTAATTCCTTCTGTTTCAAGCATGAATGCGTTTTTTAATTACAAATGATTTAGGATTGTCTTGATTGATGCAGTGAATAAGGGTGTTCTACTCTGGTATATTTTCTAGAGTTTTGAATTTTATGGAATATTTTTGTATTTTTTAAGTACATGTCTAAATTACACTCTTATGCACTACAGTAATTCTTTTGGCTTCAGAAGCTAACTGTTTGAATATTCTGTCCTTGGTTATGGATATTACTTGATATTACTTGTTCTATTGATAGGCAGAAAATGATTTGACATCAGCTGTTGAGCTCTTGAAACACGCTGTGTCAACTCTGAAGATTCTCAAACTTGTGTCAGTGGAGAAGCAATCTAATTATGTTTCCATATGGAACGAAATGATGTTTATTTGCTTTCAAGAACTAAAACATGGTGCTTTGATTTGGAACGAATCCATACAGAGAAATGTTGAAAGTTACATATTATCTGAACTTCAAGGTACTGACTGCATCATTTAGCTCTATGGATAATATTGCAAGTTGCAAGTTAGCTGACCAGTTCTTAATCTGTCATTGTTTCAGGAAAACGGTATATCTGCGCCCTTGGAGAGATTTATAGGGTAGTTCAAGTGCTTAGAGCCTCAGTTACACTTTACAAGCCATGGATACTGTTGGGTCAGGTTGATCCCAGTGGCTTGATTTCTCTTCTAAATGAGTGCTCCAATATTTGGACGAGTTCAGGACTCGTTGAGGCTCTCTGCAAGACTGATGGTCCTATTGATTGCAAGGCATTATTGGATTCTATCAATTTTATTCAGAATCTTGATGAATGGGGTCTGAGAAAGCATGTTCTCTTCGGACAACAGCCTACTTGTAATCTATCACTCGTAAATGCTGAATCAATTCCAGGTATCCACGATTTCATTATACTCTCTTTTTTCGAACTTGGAAATCGAACTTTAATAGAACCAAAGATTACAAAAGAAGGGGAGATGAGTTATCAACCCACCCACTGATGAATGAGCCTACAGAGAACCTACTCCAATGTTCTTGAAGATATATAGAAATAGAAATGAAAAGAAAAAATGGACAATTACAAACGAAATGCAAGAGTATATACCAAAAGATCCCCAAAGAGCTAACAAGATTCCAAATTTCCAATTACACGTTACAATTGAGACCTCTAGATTTCTGTTGATATCGACACCTTGATTCCACCGTAGTGTTGTGCATGAACTCAAAATTTACTTAGCACTAGATATTATTGATCTGCTGGGATTTCAGAAAGAAAAAAAGAATAGAATTCTGTCAATCTAATACTATTCCCATTTCTATCTTTATGCCCTATGTAAAAATCATTTTTACAGTTCCATCTTCCTGATATTTTGATTTGGCATTAGGCTTGGATTTGGTGGTCTGGGATGGGGAGAGCTACTTTTTGAAGCTTGCAAACTTGTGGGCAAATCTAATAGACCGCGATCCTCCATTCATTCAGCACCCAAATAATAGGTGATAAGAGGGTTGAGTTGATTTGTATGATAGTCTGGATGATGTGGCTGTTGCTATTTTCTCCAAATTCGTCCCAGATGCTCGTCCGTGTCGATGTTTAATAGGAAACGCTAGATAATTTCACATCTTGAGATGAAAGTAAGAAAGGAGAATACTTTCTGGCCATTCAAGAAGATCCAAATAAATCCATCTGGGTCTCTTGGGAGCCATTCTTTAGAAGAGCCGCTACATAGCAATTGAAGATGTTTCATATCTGTATCATATTGTGCCCAGAACTGGATGGATTCAGACCACTGCATAGATAGAGAGAAATTTCCTTTCATTCCTTCTGGTTCTTGTTTAGATGTTATATTTCTAGTTCAGAATCCCAGAATCAGAGTGAGGTTTGTACACTGTATATATAGATTTTTTCCAGAACCATTGTGGTATTTTTAGTTTGTGAAGGTAATTGATTCCATTTTTCCCATTGTTTTAACAGTTTGCACCAAGATATTGTCTTACTGCTGCAACGCCTCAGATGAATGGGTATGCTCTGAAAATCTTTCATGTGTAGTAGTGTAGCATTTCATTACTAAACATTTTAGTCGATTAACAACTCTTGCACATGATCAAGTCTATTAATAAGAGCTTGATTGTTGATTGTTGAAATGGTAGGGTTACAAACTATTTTACAAAGAGTAATTGAGTACAAAATTTATGGCATTACCTATGGTCATGCTATTATTGACCAGAACCCTCTAACAAAAAATCCTGCATTTCAACCTAAAATATGGAACTCTCCACAGAGGATATATTAATTTCTAACCAACAAGATTGCATTGTTTCCATGTTATTGCTTCTTCTCCTTCTTTATCACAGGTTTTTGGCCTTTATTGACACCTTCAGCTACTCTTTAGTCTAGGCTTAGTAAGAAATAGATACCTTCTGGTTGCAAGTATTAAAACCCATGTACTTGAAGTGATCTTCTCTTTTATCATCAAAAGCAGAGCTGAACTAAGTACCGTTTTCAAGATCTGTGCTTGCAATCCCTTGAAAAATCCTAGTATCCCTTCTTTTCTCCATATAGAACGGACAACACCCGGAACTGTTCGGCGGACGTTTGGACGATGTTCTTTCGTTTCGTTGTCATGTGCAGCTTGGATCATCACCTTACACCTGCGTGCGGAGAAAAATCTTTAGTGTTTCAACATGCCAGTGTGAGAAGGATAAGGATGTGAAAGAAATATAGTGCACCTGATTGCAGGATATGTCAAAAGGGTGGCAATGCTTTTTGAAATTGCACCTATTACAAAAGCTGTAAAAGCAGAAAGGACAACTGGAGATGAACCTTTTTCTGCTTTGTTCTGTTTTCCTTTGAGGATGTTCTGCTTTAGCTGATCAAATACTGTGTACTGAAGTAAAATCATAGTTGTTGTGTTAAATCCAGAGTGCAGCCACAAAAAGGAATGTTTAGAAGAAGATAAATTGGCTGGATTGAACGGTAAGAGTACACCGCCCAAGCCCAAGTCAGGCAAGAAGCCTACCACTAGCAGATATTGTCTTCTTTGATTTTTCCTTTCGGGCTTCCCCTCAAAGTTTTTAAAACGTGTCTGCTATGGAGAGGTTTCCACACCCTTACAAAAAAGTGTATCGTTCTCCTCCCCAATCATTGTGGAATCTCACAATCCACCCCCCTTCGGGACCCAGCATTCTCACTAGCACTCCTTTCCTTCTCCATTCGATGTGGGACTCCCCAAATCCACTCCCTTCGGTGCCCAGCGTCCTTGCACACCACCTCATGTCCACTCCCTTCGGGGCTCAGCCTCCTCGCTGGCATATAGTCTGGTGTCTAGCTCTAAAATCAACTGTAACAGCCCAATCCCACCGCTAGCAGACATAGTCCTCTTTGGGCTTCCCCTCAAGGTTTTTAAAACGCGTCTGCTAGGAAAAGGTTTCCACACTCTTATAAAGAATACTTCGTTCTCCTCCCCAACCGATGTGGGATCTCACTGACCACTAATGATCTCAGTCTCACCAGGTACAAACACATGGATGGTTGAAAAAATGAGCATGGACAGGAGAAGTACCTGAATGGCAGGGTTTGAAGTCAGCAGCAATGAAATTCCAAGACCATCAAATGCATCACTCCAACTGCCCTCTGTCAGGGTCTGGAAAAGCCCTTTCGATTTTCCGAAAGCACTAGTCTGCATTCGTGAGGAGGCTGTATCCAAGGGCTACACAAGGAAAAACCAAGAAAACCATTTTTTTTATGTGTTTCAGTTAAGCCATTAAACTTCAATATTTCATCAAGATGCGCTCTTGTGCATACAAGACTTCTCGAAGAGGCTTGGAACTTCATATACCGACAACGTTCATCGAACTTTGCAGCTCGATGTTGCACTCAATAACAAGCAAGCCACTCTTTTAACAAGCAGAACTGCTGAACTGAGAAACTATAACATATGAATGAATAAGAAGCCAAAACCATATTCTGCTTTACAAGAACTAAGCCCAATATAGCAATGACCAGAATCCCAAACACAATTCATACTCACTCTTCTAGGTAGCCAAAACAATGATATGCCAGCCTCAACAAACATCGTATAAGATGTCGAGATCTATGATTTTCTTTCCTTGTTTTGTGATTTTATCTCATTTTCAGGAATTGCAACATCAAAAGAACATGTCTTACGGATCATAAACAAGAATCTATGGCAATTAAAGTAATAGTATGCTTTCTTCTAAGAACTCAAATTCAGGGCCTGCAAAAGTGGAAAGCTAAAGTTTTGATATTTCAACCTGAGTTAAAATGGCATTGCAAGCTCCCGCAGCAGCAGCGAGTAAGAGGTTTGCTTTTGTTCCAATTGATTTAGCCCCAGTTTTTGCCAGATATAGTCTTTTGAAGTAGCTATACCCATAGAAGTACAAAAACTGAGAAACAAAAGATTGTAGATTCTTGGTTCCCAGTCCCTGGTACAGCGAAAGAACTTGATTCGATTTTATCGCTTCCCACAACACATCTGAAAGATACCTATACAAGCCAAACCCAATGGAATTAATAGAGATGCCAAAAGGAAAACAACATCCAACGTTTTTATGGCATTGAATTAGTTTTCTTGCAGAAAAGCAGCACCATTTTGAACCAGGAGGCCATTGCAGTGGTTATGTTGTGTTGTGTCAAAGGTGTTAATCAATAGCAAGTTTTGTGTATTGATTCGTTCTTCCACAAGCATCACTTCATTGATGATCTAAAAGCCATGAACCCAAACAAGCCTTGTTTTTTTCATCCCTACTTCAATTCAATCATCTTACATCCGAGGGGAACGAAGTATTCCTTATAAGGGTGTGGAAACCTCTCCCTAACAGACACGTTTTAAAACCTTGAGGGGAAGCGGGGAAGCCTGGAAGGGAAAGCCCAAAGAGGACAATATTTGCTAGTGGTGGGCTTGGGCTGTTACAAATAGTATTAGAACCAGTCAGCGAGGACGCTGGGTCCTCAAGAGAGGTGGATTGTGAGATCCTACATCGGTTGGAGAGGGGAACCAAGTATTCCTTATTAGGGTGTCGAAATCTTTCTCTAGCCGACACGTTTTAAAACCTTGAGGGGAAGTCTGAAGGGGAAAGCCCAAAGAGGACAATATCTGCTAACGGTGTGCTTGGACTGTTACACAAGATTCCTATGAGCCTACAACACGGAGCTAGCAAAATACATAACAGGGGCTTTTCCAGATTCCAAGCAGGCTGAATTAGCCACAGATGCTTTCAAATTATCCCAAAACTCCCACCAACCGCTTCAGAAATGCTCAAACACTTTAGATCATTCGATTCAAACTTAAAGAGAAGGAACAAGCCTTACAACCAAAAATTCGCTGAAACTAACTACGACGCCTGAACAGTCATGAGATCAATGACGTGATGGATTTTCAATTATCTTAAGATCGGATTAACTCGATTTACTATAGATTTTCCTTCAAAAACAGGGTAACAATAGCAGCAATGATAGCCCAGATCACGATTTGAAAGCAAAACGAGAAAGTTCCCAAAACAAGGAAGAAACCGTCGAGATAACAGGGGAATACACAAAAATCCATATCAAGAAAAGCAAATACGAAGCTGTGGGCAACCTGTATTTCTGTTGGCCATGGGCTTGAACCTCGGCTTGGTACTTGGACTTGCAGGTATCAAGCGGGTACAAGATGGTGGTGCTAACGAGCGAACCGATCGCACCGGAAGTAGCCTCCGAGAGCGATTCGAGATCAGAACTCATGGCTCTCTCGTTCTATGAATGAAATTTCAAGCAATTTCAAATGGGTTTCTCTCGTTTCGGTGAGTAAGGCTTTAAATAGGCACAAGCACATGAAGAAGACGGGGAATTGCGTAGCAAGAGAATTTAGCGCGTCATGGTAGTGACATCTTTTGAAAGAATAAGCGCCACCGTTCGGCGTGTCGGCCGTCGGATTATGTTCACGGCGACTGGATCGACGGAGAAGATTGATCCAATTCTTCGGCCCCATTTAGCCTTCGTTTCCGATTTGAAGAGAAACTCTCAGCTACCCTCTTTGAACACTAGTGGTCGCTAGCTGCATGTTCCACGTGTATTATATATTTTTGTGGAAGTGTTCACGCTCACCAAAAGGACGGTGACCATCTAAGTCCACTGCTAGTAAATATTATCCATTTTAACTCGTTACGTATAGCCGTCAATCTTATGCTTCTAAAACACGTATGTTAGAGAGAGATTACCACATCCATATAAGGAATACTTCGTTCTCCTCTATAACTGATGTGATGTCTCACAATCTACCCTCTTGTAATCCACGTCCTCGTTTGTAACAATCCAAATTCACTGCTAGTAGATATTGTCTATTATAGCTCGTTACTATCACTATCAACCTCACGATTTTAAAACGCATATGCTAGGAAGAGGTTTCCAAATTCTTATGAAGAATGTTTCGTTCTCCTCTTCAACCAACGTGGATTTTCACTAGGACTGATGTCTCAAGGAAACAAAATGAAACATGAGCTCAATTTTGTCAAAATAAACTGTGTCGTATATTAGCCCAAATTGGCCCGAAGTCCAAACTAAAAAGATTAAGCCAACTTAAATTAAGCTCGTTGGGTCTCCAAACTCCCGAGGATCAAATACCCTTTTGAGAACCAAAAATACTTCAAAGATCATGGAGCTTAGAAGCCAAATTTAAGCCAAATACTTTAAAATAAATAACAAAATTTGAAGAGATTTTTTAAAATAATTTAGAGAAAAAAAAGGGAAAAAAATCCCGAATTTGATTGAAAATACGGAAATTCTGTGCACTTCTGGGTAACCTTAGAGTGGAGTATATTAATTTTATTTATTTTCATATTTTGAAAAATAAACCAGGAGAAGAAGAGAACGCATTTTTGTCTCTCTGCGTAATCGAACACTTCTTTCCTTCTTTTTCTCTCTCTCTTCTTCCCGACGCATCCATAGCCGCCGCGCCGCTGCCACTTCTGCCAGCAGCTCCACCCCATCGCCGACGCCGCTGCTGCTGCTGACGCCTCCGCGTCTGGTGGCGCTTTACAGCTTTCCACCTTCAGATAGAATAATCCCAAAGGTCAGTGGATTCACGGTCGATTACCTTCAATACTACGATATCACCCTTCAATTGTCGTTTGTTATTTCATTATTTCACTGATTACTCACACTCCGAAAAACGCTTTGATTGGATTTTATTTTGAGTCTCTATACGGAATTTCATTGGATTTGTGATTTTCTTTTAGGTGTTCAAGAATTCGGTTTTTGTTAGAGATGACTGGATTTTTTTATTTGTGTTTTTATGATGTCAATGTTTTTGTTGTCTGTTCTTATGAAATTGTCAAGTCACTGATGGTTCTTTTGGGATTTCCCTTATGCAGTCTTTGGCCTTCCAATGGCAAGAGCGCCAGCTGGTAATGTACAATCAGGTGGCAGGAGCGGGGTTCGTATAGTTATCGCTGGGGACCGCGGTACCGGAAAGTCGAGCTTGATCGTAACTGCCGCGGCTGACAATTTTCCAGTGAATGTTCCCCCAGTATTGCCACCGACGAGGCTGCCCGAAGACTTTTGCCCGGATCGAGTTCCCACCACAATCATCGACACTTCATCACGGTATTACTTGCTATGTTTGTTTTGTTTTTCATTTTTAGTCTGTCTCGATGCGGAAATAGTGTACGAAAAGAATGTTTGTTTCTAATTTCTTTAGTTTCCTAGACTGATAGTTCACCATCCCGCTCGATTTAATGCGAGTTTTCCCCTAACTTCCAACTGGAAAATATAGTTCAGGAATTCTTGCTAATAGAGTTTTGCCCAAGGTATTCAAGGGGAAGTTTTGAGGACTCTATGGTTTTCTTTTTGTTTGTTTGTTTTTCCCTCCCAGCACTGAGGATAGTGCAAAAGTTGCTGAAGAACTTAAGAGAGCTGATGCAGTGGTGCTAACTTATGCTTGTGATCAGCCTCACACCCTTGATCGGCTGAGTACATTTTGGCTTCCAAAGCTTCGTCAATTGGAGGTTAGTTAACTTTGCTCCCTCCTTGGATCTTGGTGGATGGGAAATGACTTAGTAATAAAATCCCCGATGTTGGTGCTAACATAATAAGATTATATACGCAAGTCTCTTTAATCTGAAAACCTAAGCATCCCCTTTCCTAAATCAGATCAGTATTTTCTATGTTATTTTTATCATTTTTATTGATGTGATTATAATGGTTTAAACGAGCAGGTGAGGGTTCCAGTTATAGTGGTGGGCTGTAAACTGGATTTGAGAGATGAGAATCAGCAGGTGAGCTTGGAGCAGGTTATGTCCCCAATAATGCAGCAGTTTCGAGAAATTGAAACATGCATCGAGTGTTCAGCATTTAAACATATTCAGGTATATTTCATCTATCAATGGAATTGTTGGTCTTCTAAAAAAATCAGGTATTTTGTTGCTCTCTTACTCAGGATTGTATAAAAAAGAAAAAGAAAAATAAACTGTCCGACTATTGTGCTGCATCGGTACCTTGTTTCCATTTTGTTGAAGATTGCAATTGCGTCCATTTTCATTTATTGTTCCATGCTAATTCTTGGCTGAGTTATGTTTTCGTGCTTATATGAAAATCTTGCCATCTATGCCTAGTAGATATTAATTTTCTTATCCCACAATTTTCCGTAGTTCATTTTTAAAGCAACAGAATTGTATGTTCTCAACGTTGTATTATTCCATTTGCAGATTCCTGAGGTCTTTTACTATGCCCAAAAAGCTGTACTTCACCCAACAGGCCCACTTTTTGATCAAGAAACTCAAACTCTAAAACCTAGATGCGTTCGGGCGCTGAAGCGGATATTTATTCTTTGTGATCACGATAAAGATGGTGCTCTGAGTGATGCCGAACTGAATGATTTTCAGGTCTTCCTTCCCATAGTTTACAATTTTTTTTGGCAACACCTCATCAAGTATTTATTTATATGTTAGTTACATTGCCTGACATTTTGTAATACCTGTGCCTAAAAAGGCTGACTTGACTCTATGGAGCTCTTATTAATGTTTTTTTTTTTTTTTTTTTTTTT